CCGCGGCGCTGACTTGGCAGCGTGACAGCGTTTGCAGGAATCTCACCGAACTGCAACCACGTGAACACGGCTGACCATGTGATAAAAGTTCTTTGTTAATCACTGGCTATGCAGTTTGGGTTCGCTATAATCGTCTTAGATTTGCCAAAATAGAGGTGCGGCTCGTGAGTTAAGGAGAAATTGGCCATGTCACATCGATTCTATGTTCATCATTTCAATGTTGCTTAAATGGGAGGCAGACATCGACCGAGGGCTCGCAATCACTTTGTTCCAACCTTCCATGAGCTCCTTTGAGCGGCGGTCCTACTCGCGTTCAGTTTTCAATACTGGTTCCGAAAGGCTTTGTATATGGAGCTCTGCTGTAGTATTGCAAGTGTTTCTAAGAATCCATGGCGTTCGGTCAGCCAGGCATGTTGTGCTTGAAGACGCTTGATTTTTAAGTGCATTTGGAAAACTATGTTTCTGTTGATGTTTCTGTTGAAAATGTCTGCCAATGTTTTTCGTTGTAAGCTGAGCCAAAGGTCTGCTATGAAGACTTGACGAAGCCACCTCTTTTACAACGGGTTACGGATGGGGTTGTGCAATACAAAACACAAAGGTGTCGCAATGGCGCTGAAATGAGACTTTGCGAATGTACCCGTCTAGTTTTAGCTCACATTTTCAAGGCTGCGGAAGAGAAGACGAGTGATCGAAGCTAATAAAAAGAGCAGCATTGAACACTTGTACACTTTCTATTCAAGACACAACTCGATTTGGTACGCGCAGTTTAAATAGACCAATCGTCAGGCAAATCCAGCGCCCACCTGACAACACTTGCGTGGCCCAACGACACGGCAAACCCAGAGAACTCCAGCTGCTCTAAATGGCCGCGCTCTCAAGCGCACAGCCACCCGTAGCCATGAGCTCTGGCTCACAGGCACCCGCGACAATGGCTCTAGCTTTCAGGCACCCGCGACCATGAGCTCTAGCTCACAGGTACCCGCGACCATGAGCTCTAGCTCACAGGCACCCGCGACCATGAGCTCTAGCTCACAGACACCCGCGACCATGAGCTCTAGCCCACAGGCACCCGTGGCAATGAGCCCTAGCTTGTGTTGGAGTTTGATAGATAGCTTAAGTATGACATGTGAAGAAGGGCTGTAATTTATCTTTCGCGAAGCTCATTCAGATACCACGCGACAAGTGGGGCATAAAAACACCGCGACCCTCTACATCGTAACCCTCTACTCATAAAAACATCGCGACCCTCTACATCGCAACCCTCTACTCATAAAAACACCGCGACCCTCTACATCGTAACCCCCTACTCATAAAAACATCGCGACCCTCTACATCGTAACCCTCTACTCATAAAAACATCGCGACCCTCTACATCGTAACCCTCTACTCATAAAAACATCGCGACCCTCTACATCGTAACCCCCTACTCATAAAAACATCGCGACCCTCTACATCGTAACCCTCTACTCATAAAAACACCGCCACCCTCTACATCGTAACCCCCTACTCATAAAAACACCGCGACCCTCTACATCGTAACCCCCTACTCATAAAAACACCGCGACCCTCTACATCGTAACCCCCTACTCATAGAGACACCGCGACCCTCTACATCGTAACCCCCTACTCATAAAAACACCGCGACCCTCTACATCGTAACCCCCTACTCATAAAAACACCGCGACCCTCTACATCGTAACCCTCTACTCATAAAAACATCGCGACCCTCTACATCGTAACCCCCTACTCATAAAAACACCGCGACCCTCTACATCGTAACCCCCTACTCATAAAAACACCGCGACCCTCTACATCGTAACCCCCTACTCATAAAAACATCGCGACCCTCTACATAGTAACCCTCTACTCATTTCCGTCCATCAGCAGCAAATATATTGGCATACACGCCGAACCCAATGGCAGCGCCTGACACATTAATGAGACGCTTCGCATCCTAAATCCGTCAGCGTTTCCTCCCGGGGCAGCAGTCGATCGGCGAGTGCGTCACGTCTCGCCAGGTGACAGCTCGGCACGCACCACACGGACAGCCCGCGGCCGCGTCCAAAGCCAACACGTGGGCGAAAATGTTCGTCATCGCCCGCGAGACGCTCAGCGGCCTACGCGACGGGCAGGCAGCACTCGTGGACAGGTGGGGGTGGTTAGCGGCCAACTGGCACTTCACGTGGGGGATCATTGAGCCGGAGCCGCTATGAAGTTGTTCCCCAACTGTCACTTCACGTGGGGGATCCCTGAGCCGTAGCCGCTATGAAGCTGTCCCCCAACTGGCACTTTACGTGGGGGATCTCTGAGCCGTAGCCGCCATGAAGCTGTTCTCCAACTGGCCAGGTCAGCCGCGAAAACGACCCTTTGCAGAAGACGACCAGGTGGCAATTTCACAGGCCACACAGCCCGCAGTTTGAAGTGGTGGACTAGCATGGGGTGCTTCCAACATTTACCAGGTCCGATGGTCGGAACTTTGAGTAATCGAGGACGTGTCGGCGCTGTTAACCTAGCTGACGCAATTCAGCCCTCATTCCCTGCTTTTCAATCCCATCATCAAACCATTCGGGCTATGTTGAGCTCTGTTGAGCGCTCCTGGCTTTCACTCTTACATATTCAGTCCAGATATTTGGACACCCCGTATGAAAAAGTTCATGTAGCTGCTAAGAGACAGGCGTGGCGCAGAAAGATCGCATTGTACTTTTAGGCGTTCTCGTCTAGCAGCGACAAATATATTGGCATGCACGCCAAAGCCAATGACAGCGCTTGAAACATTCATGGGACGCTTCGCATTATAAATCCGTCAGCGCTGCCACCTGGGGCGACAGCCAATCGGCGAATGCCCCAGCTGACAGCTCGGCTCGCACCGCTATTGGTCGGCTGACCAGATTGGTCCGTGACAGGCGTGACGTAACGATTCACAGCCTTTTCACGCACAAGTTTTGCCGGACTGCTGGTCACTGCTGGCTACCAAGATCGGGCTGAAATAAGCTTTAATGTCCTCAGCCTTATCATATTTAATCATTTGCCATCTCTTCTCTTAGATTAAATCCGAACCATTCGAATGAATAAATGTCTGGGATCAGAGCCTACATGAATGAACTTATAACCTTTCATGCATAAATAACATGCTTGTTGTGTGAGCTATGACTCCTACCATCTGATCGCGCATTTCCAGGTTAACAGCACGATCTGGTGGCAAAAGTTCAACGTGCCGCAATGTTCGGCACGGTCCGCCCTGTCCTCTGACATCAACTGACTTCTTGCGCGGTCCCTGCCACCGGCCGCAGGTCATACCTGTCAAGAGCAAATTGTAAGCGTCTGAAGCGATTCGAACCCATCGCGCCCCGAGCGGGTGGGCCGGAAGGCAGGCGCTCTCATCAGCTGACTCACTGGGACGGACACGTATGCTGAAAATCCTGGTCTGTCATGTGCATAGATAGGGGATACGTCGTATTGGGAACATTATCATGAATGGCCGCTGGCTTCAGTGTTACCGTCCATTCGCGCTCACTAATATGGTAGCTGATGAGATCTTACTGGTCATGTGTTCGGTGCGTAAAGCACGAGCATCGCCGACGGGCGGAAGAAGGTAAGGACTTGGGCGGACCGGGAGGAGCTTATTGGAAACAGCATCAGGTTCAGTTGTGAATGATTTGGAAGAGACCGTTTTTGTTACCAGAATAATGATTACATCGGTTGCGGCGGCATGCGTTCACGTTACCGAGGTGGCTGCATCGAGCCACGGTATCGGGCATTACCGAGGTGGCTGCATCGAGCCACGGTATCGCCAGACGGTGCCAGGTGCAGGAATGTGGGAACAACAGCAGATGCTATAGTGCGCAAACATCCCAACGGCGGGCGGTATGATGATCAGACATCCCAACGGCAGATGTTGTAGTGTTCGGACATCCCGACGGGAGATGGTATGGTGTTCAGACATCCCAACGGCAGATGTTGTAGTGTTCAGACATCCCAACACATTTCGCATCTTGCTCTTCTCCATCAATTTTGCACATCCTACATCCGTCATTGGTCGGGAGTCTTTCATAGGCGGAGATCCGTGTCACCACATGTAGGGGATGGTTACACTATCGTTTGCAATTTACGCGCTATTGCCAGGTCTTGCCGTCGCCACCGATCACAAAATATAAAATTGGTTTTACTTTGGGTTTCCTGCAAAACCTAAAGTAGTCTAGTCTGGGCTAGTCAAAGCATTGTAATCAGCCTAACTGTGAAACGGTACATTAGTTATAATACATTGTTTGATTGTTTGAACAAGGCAGGGAAATGCGCATGTTTTTCTCCATGAAAGTGCCATTAACATTGTATAATTGTTTTTAGTGTCCTGGTCAAATGAAGAATTAGTTCAAATCAACAGAAACAATGCTATGCCCTGCCGTCAAAATCGACTAAATAGAACCCTATATCTCGAGCTGGGCCGAGTCCCCCACCCCCTTTGTAGGGACTTCAAACGAAATTCATCGCATGAACAGGATCAAAGCATGCCACAGCTACACGCGTGAAGTCACAGAGACGAGCGCCGCTGAAAATAGACTCGTCAGCAGCCTGCAGTTGGAGCAGTTACGAGGAAGCCCGACTGGATGACGACGTAACGACCTGACAAGAGTGACAGCTCCCGGAACCCGGCCAGATGTCCTACTGGACATTCAGACACCTTGCTTGTAGTCAAGTGAACCCCACTCAGATTATCTGCCCATAGCGGATCAATAGCTCGGATGGTGCAATGGAGTGTGGAATGAATGTTTCGACCGGCTCCGCACTTCACCTTTCTGTTCAGATTCATGGCAGCGTTGAAAGTTTCGCAATGCAGGTCCAAAGGAAAGGGAAGCATCAGAATGTTACCAATTAATTTGCACGCGGTTTCCTGGGAGATCGACCAGATCCATGACAAGATAATATTGTTTTCTATTACAAATCACCACAGGAAATGCGATAAAAAGCACAGGACGGTGGAATGCTACACAAAGGAAACCCACCTGGCGTGCTGTTGAAAGTCGGCCACTGGTTCGCGTCATACTGCAATGCCCTCAGTTTGGTTTGAAGTACTTCAAGGGTGAAACTACCTGGTAGGCTGAAAATCAAGGACATCCTGTAAACAAAATAAATATTTTAAAACGTTGGCCATGGGCATGCAAATAGTACTTACTGCCAGCCGGCGAATGATACAATATTGAGCTTTAAAACATTCCGTGACGAAGCTGACGACAGTGCCATTAGAGCGAGTCATCGATACAGTTATGGAAACCATACAATAGACCGCTCCGCACACATGTTGCAAGGAGCAAAGCGTTTATAAGGTACTCGATGTTACTCCATGTACGGGGTGAATCACAACATTGCGAACGATTTGCAGAGCAAAGGCAGCCAGTGGAATGTTTGCTGCACGTTGAATGTTTTTCACTTTCCACTATGGCTGCGCAAACAAATCCAAAGCAGTGCGATCCGCACATACGCATTTCCCTTATTCATTATTTTTTTTCTGCGGTACTCTGAACATTTTTTTTACTTCCGTTTATTGTCTTCTCTGAACGAATTGGGAGACTTGCTAAGAGTCACCCGTTGCTTGAACATCGCAACCCGTTTAACTCAGGCACCTTAAGCTATCCCGTTTGTTAGTGCGTAAGAGACGTTATCGTTGCATGCAGCGCGACGTTACGGTGTCAAAGTGTCATTCCCTGGCCGAGAAACAGGACTGCGTTAACGGCCACCCGACACGTTCAGCGCAACGGGCGTTCACAGGACTGTGTTAGCGGCCACCCGACACGTTCAGCGCAACGGGCGGCGTTCTCTCCGTCTGACGCAATTGTCTCCTGGCCTTTTTGAACTATTAAGACATCAATGAACTCAGCGGTGAGGTAATGATGAACTTGATATCATTTGTTTGTTTTGGTCCCCTAGCCCTAACTCTAATTGAAAAAGTTACCTGTGATTAAGCACAATGCACAGTGGAATGCATCTGGCACCCATGAGATTATGTTTGCCAACACATGCCTGCCAGAGCTGGCAACGGCCGTAGCGTCGGGCGCCGCGCCCTGTTATCTGAACAGTAAACATCCTCCAAGCGACGTACCTGCAGAGCAGGACCGTGGCCACCGCGAGGGCGGAGCGTGTCGCCATCGCACGGCCGGCGACGGTTCGAACAGCACCGGCTCCCTCCCGACGCGGCCCTGCCCCGCGGCTGACTGCCCCACCGCCGACGCCGACGGCCGGCGTCGGCGACCGGCCGTCGGCGGGCGCACGGGCTGTAGACAGTCCGCAGCGGGGCGCACGGGCTGTAAACAGGCCCCCGGCGGGCCCACGAACTGCGAGCAGTTCCCCGGCGGGCGCACGGGCTGCAAACAATTAGCAGCGGGGCGCACGGGCTGCAAACAGGCCCCCGGCGGGCACACGAACTGCGGGCAGTTCCCTGGCGGGCGCACGGGCTGCAAACAGTTCACAGTGGGGCGCACGGGCTGCAAACAGTCCCCCGGCGGGCGCACGGGCTGCAAACAGTTAGCAGCGGGGTGCACGGGCTGCAAACAGGTCCCCGGCGGGCGCACGGGCTGCGAGCAGTCCTCAGCGGGGCGCACGGGCTGCGAGCAGCCTCCCGCCAAGAAAGGGGAAGCGCGCGGCTCGGCGCAGGTTTTGGTGAGGCGCGCGGTGGATGGGTTCGGGCTGAGCGTTGGTGCGATGGCTGCTGACGTGTCGGTGTTTTCTGAGCCGATCAGTGTGGGAAGTAGTGCTGAAGGCCTGTCGGCGCTCCGCTTTGGAGTTAACCACGAGACCTGGGAGGTAAACAGTCGACTTTTCATTCCATCAGGGGCAAACTCTGTTCAATAAACCACCATGTAGACCGTAAGCATTTTGCAGCACACTGAGAACGGATGACACATTTGAAAATAGTTTTTGTGCAGAGGTGTTCTCAAAAGTGTTGAGAGGTGTTGTGGAAGGCAGATTTTGCATTCGCTACACTATCTTGTCGACGCACGGGTCTGGTGTGACGCACACACCCCGCACTGTGGGTCGGATGGGCGTGTTCCGAGTCGTACCCGAGTGGATCGTTTGCCATGAGTGGATGAGACAGTATCAATATACTTATTTCTCGTAGAATTAACACGAGAATAAAGAGGCAGGCGCGATATTTCGGCTACACGCCTTTATGAAAACGAATATCAGAAGTCAGTTAATTTACTACCGATATTCGTTTCGATAAAGGCATGTAGCCGAAATTTCACAAACATCTCTCCATTCTCCTGTTTTTTCTACAGGAATAAGGCGATTAATACCGCGTTATCTATGTGCATAATGTTCCTCGCAAATGCGCCTAACAATCGACGTAAGCTTGCCAACAGTACATTAGCAAAAATTGGGTAATATTTTGTTGCTTTGCAATATTCATCATACATGTTATGAATGCGGGGCAGCAGCATCATAAGCCAAACGTTTCGGCAGTAAAATGCGTGTAGACGGTGAAATAAGTTTAGGCGTAATATACCTTTACACGGTAAGATACACTTAGACGTTTGCATTTTGATGTCTCAAGTTATGTCTCTTATTGTTGTTATTCTTATTTCTTCGTTGTCCATCGCTTCATTACTTATTTCTATCTCTGCGAAGTTTGTTACCAGCATGACTGCACAGCAGGCCGGGAAAATCATGTTTTGGCAAATTTCCAGAAGAACCGGCTTGCATGGCTTGATAATCAAGATTAACGGCAATAGTGTGCATGAGACGATTTTAAAATCCATGTTGCATACGAAAATAATTCAATTAGTATGGCCTTGCAAGCACGATGTAAAGACTACCTTTCGCGAATGGCATGGGTGTCGATTTCTCAAAATGATTGGGAGAGTTTTGGAAGCCACCATAAGGAGACCGGTACAAATTTTTTCGGATTTCGTCCACTTCTGTTCTAACTGTTCATTATGCATGTATACATATATACGCATTAATTACCTGTTTTTAAAGCTCATGTGCGTAGTCACAGCAATCACGTGCGGGTAGCTGGCAGTTTGAATCAATTTCTTATAAACGCACCTGTTTTGTGAAGCTGAAGAGGTGCACCCGCACCTCTCCAGCATACTGGGAGTGGAAATCTGCGCATAAGTCATCGCATGTGCTTGGCAAATTCGTTAGTGCTTCTGAGTGTTTTCACAAGAATAGAGCGCCCACCATACGTATATATATATAAATATATATATATATATATATATATATATATATATATATATATATATATATATATATATATATATATATATACATATATATATATATATATATATATATATATATATATATATATATATGTAAATATAGGGTTTTCATAGCTATATATATACATGTATATATATATTTATGTATATATATATATATATATATATATATATATATATATATATATATATATATATATATATATATATATATATATATATATATATATATATATATATATATATATATATATATATGTAAATATAGGTCATACCTATATATACATGTATATATATATATATATATATATATATATATATACATGGTTATCATAAGTCGTGGACACTAATGTTCTCAATCTTAACACACCAAAATGTTCAATAAAACGTATGCATTTCAGCTGATGTCAAAACAAAACATTAGCACTCCCCACACATCAGCTCATCAGCTCAAAACATGGCCGTTAAACCTCCCACCAATACGTTCAGGCAGATGCCATCCTGTTGAGAATGCCCCTTCCCCGCTCATTTCAAATGCGATGCGAGACAGCTGCACTTTCGGGAGGCACCGTTCCAAGCTGCTGTGCTTATGAAGGGAAGCGGCACTCAGCCGCTACGGTTCGAACATGGGGCAAGTGAAACTCCCGTCAATAACAGCGTTGCTAGTTGAGTTGGCTGCTCAGCGACCATGCAATTATACATGGGTGCGCATGGTCGGTACTCAATGAGCTCACCCACCTACGCCTAGCTAGCATTTTATAGTGACCCCGGCCGGGCCCGAGAAGGGCAGACTGGGTAGGCAGTAACAGAATGTCTAGCACGACCCCAGATGGCCCTTGCAACTTTGTTTGATGGGCCGCGGCCTGGCCAGATCCTGCTCGTCTGCCCGCGGCCTCGCTGGGCACCAACTGGGCACATGCTAGTAAAATATCAGGGTATCGGTGTGGCCCGAGCAGACGCTGGGCTCCAGCTGGAACCTTGCCAGTCTCCATCTGATAGACGCGCTGTATACCAGCTGGGTATAAGTCCGTGCCAGGGATGGGCCCAGCAAGAAGCCTTGCGCAGCAGAGCGGAGTACATGGATTGCACAGCGCATCCAACGCAGTGAAATGGTTAGCCCAACATTTCCAGTATTGGGAAGTCCAAAAATTGTAATTGATTTAAAGTTCACGATTTGGGCCCTAACACCAATGGGCCAAAGCACAGGTCGTTCAAGCTAAGAAGCTAGCTTCTAGCACTGTGCTGTCTCACTTTAGGCATATATCCTATCCTAAAAGGGCCTATTAAGCAGTCTTAATCTCAAAAGTCCATGTTCTTTTGTCTTCTGAAAGGTTTAACAGAAAAGGAAATTTATTTAATTACGCGTGCTAAAGAGCAACAAGTAATGCCACAAGCTAAATAACAAGCTACAAAACGATATCACTTATGATATTACTTTTGGTCCTTTTGAGAGTATGCCGTCACCGATCAGCCAAGGCGGTAGCACATATAGCCCGCCGCAATCCCAGACAAAGCTGTTTCACGAACAGTGTAAATGTCTGAGAGCAGATGTTGTCTCGGGGTAGGAGGTGCCTCGTTAATTGGACCAGATAAAAGTCTGTTGCAGCCATATGTTACTGAACATCAACGCCCCGGAAAATAAGAGCACAAAGCAGTCACCAAAGGTGAATGATGGAGCTGACCGGACACTAGCGGTTGAGATTGTACGCCGTAGCGCATGAAATACGCCACGAGGCGGCCAGCCCCTGCCTCCATTCTTTGATTTCCTCCGCCGCTGCAAAGCACCGACGCCCAACCGGATTTGATGCCAACACAGGAACAGTCCTAAACCGGCGACACGTGACTGATAGAGCCCAGACTGGCGCCTCGTCACCAGACGCGCCACCCCAGAGACGTACCCGGCCGTGTGGGGGATAGCGCATGGCCTGGCTTCGCCAGGAGACCGTTTATGGATGACATCCAGAAATGTAGCGTTGCCACGGGGGTGCTCACTATTATTTACATCGAATGCAACTTTTGTATCGCTTTACACGGTTTCGCTGTTGTTATTCCCGGTTTTCGTGCTTTTCAGATTTGGTACCAATTTATACCCCTGTCTAATGATGCTAGTGTGAAGAACAATTATCCTTTTTTTTGCCGTTTCAGCTCGGCCATATGCTGTGCTGGTTTGCAAATGCTGGACAACCTTTCAAAGCATGACATTTGAATCTGGACAATAATTCGATTGCAATATCCCGCAGCCCTTTAAAGTTGCAGACAAAACTGTAATCTGTCAAGGTTAACAAAATATGCTTCCATCCAACAGCGGATAGTGCGGGTCCATGGCCCGAAGTCTGAATGGACCGGCGTCGCTAGTAGTACCCCTCAGGATCGGCGCTGGGACCCAATCCCGTTAATAATTTCCCTCGACGATTTACCACAAGTGCGAGTCGCGGCCAGGGTATTTGCTGCTGATACTAAGGTGAACTGTCGTGTTCAAAGGCCACTGGCCCCTTTCCCTCCTCATGTTGTCCTTGATGGCCTGGCCCTCGAACGTTCCCCCGCCGCCAATAATATCGCCATCCGCAGTTGAACAGCTGAAAACTAGGCTCGATTCACCCTGGCCTAGTATCGTGTACGACAGTCCACACTGCCCACACCGTTAAAGTGAGGTTGTTCGGATAACTGAACGAGATTGCGAAAGACCGGGAGCCACAGGCTGAGTGGCCTTTTAATTTCATCACCACCATTGTGTAATAGTGGTAATTTGATAATTTATAGTAGAGCTTGTTGCAAGAACAGGTAACGTAAAGCCAATGTTTTGTGATCCACGGTTGAAATGTAATTTCTGAACTTACCTGGTCTTGCTGCATGTTGCCGACGAGTGTCCCAATAGGTATGCAATTAGCCTGCATGGATATTTGTACGATTCAAC